GAGGTTTGAAGAAATGACACAAGATGTTATTCAAAAACATAGAGATGTAAGTATTATTATATTTTTTTTATCATAAGGTGGCAAACGAGCGAGAGGCCACCTGAAATCGCTGAAATAGCGAAGTGACCGTTGCCCATAGACATACGCAATTGCATATACGTTGCCTACCTTTATTGACGGAGGAGAGGATGCACAGAAAGAAAACATTTTCCCTTCCTATGCATCCTCTCATCCGGAAAGTCCATTTCCACTACCCCACCCTTTCCTTATAAGAAAAAGGGTGGGAAGGGAAAGAGGACTAAATTAGGCCTCCGGGACGCACACTCATCAGACGAAACGCGGAATTACTTCCACTTCACGTCTGTCTTCTGTGTGGTCGTGGTATTTCACCGGGCGAGCCGGGCCAATTCGTGCGAAGATGTTAAAGCGGGCTCTACCACTGTTATATTTTAGTAATAAAGGTACAGCAGTAAAAGTAATTTCTTAGCTAACTAATTAGCTACGTATATGAAACATAAATTCTGTTTTTTTTATTATAATATTTTTATTACAGTATCAGAAGAAATTACGTCACCGTATTTTTCATTCCAAGCATGAAGAAAGACGTTCTAGCCAAACAAGAGAATCGAGTGTAACTCAACGCTTAACCATGATAAATATAACGCCTACGGCACCGTATGTATACAGCACGAATATGTAACAAAACTAGCTGCCGTCCACAACTATGTCCACATGGAATTAAAAAACCTTAATTAGTAGCCTATGTTTTCTTTCAGGCTATGCTCTACATGTAACCAAATTTCGAGCGAGATCCATGCAGCCGTTCTGGTGATACATTCTAATAAACATTTGCGTTTATAATATTAGTAAGATAATAAATATAAGCGATGTTATTTTTTAATGAACACAGCATGCATTTAAAGCATATGGTTACCACCCTTGTGTTGAAAATCGACTAATTTCTTATAAAAAATGAGAAGACATGTTGATACGCAGAAATTTGTATCTATTATAATCTCAAACATGTTATATTGCATCCAGTTGAGAGCTATGATTTTTATTTCTTTATTCGAGCATAGAACTAATAAGCACTCATACTTCTTACAGATTCTGGCATTACTGGATGCTCCTTCGTGTTATAGTTGTGTGTATTTCAATTATCACTAGGTCTATACAAGGTAAGAGGCAATGTTGAGTTGAGGATATTTACCGTAATTTGGTACAAAATTTATACAGAATTATGCCGTTAGGTTTCAAGGACGCATCACTAATAAATTCAATTAAATTTCAAAGGTGGCATTGGAGCTTACTGGAGGTGGCCATTGATGATTGCAGGATCATTTTGCGACAGCATCGGATTGATTGATATTGTTTTAAAGCTATTTGTAAGTTATTGTCTATAATTATAACCAAATTATGGGTCAAAAAACTGATGACAGTCCCTACTTCGTCCGATATCATTAAGGATAAATATCCAGTCCAAGTAACGTATCTGGCCTGGTATATGCTCCACCAAATGTAAGCTTAACTTTACCAGGTATATTGCCATAGAAAATAATACATAAGATAATTTCGAAAATCGGGATGTGAAAAGCCGAATAAATGCAAGTTGGATGAAAAGGCGACAGGTCACCGGTGTAACTTGTGATCCAAGAATGCCAATGAAACTTAAGGGATAGATCTACAAGTCCATCGTAAGACCTGTCGTATTGTACGGATCTGAATGTTGGGCCACCAAGGTTTCGGATGAAAGAAGATTGCATGTAGCTGAAATGCGTATGCTAAGATGGATGTGTGGTGTGACAAGGAAGTATTAAGTTAGAAATGTGTATATTAGAGGAAGTTTGAAGCAGCGCCAGTGATCGAGAAATTGAGGAGTAAAAGATTAGCGTGGTTTGGACATGTTACTCGTATGAGGAGGGATGATGATGATATAAGCAAAAAAGTAATGAGATTGAATGTGGATGGCTACAAGGGTAGGGGAAAACCAAAAAAGTATGGAATGACTGTGTGAAAGACGATATTCGTAAGAAGGGGGTAGACTCGGATATGACGGCTGATAGAGATGTATGGAGGAGTAGTACATACTGTGCCGACCCTTGATAGGGATAAGGGCAGGTTGATGATGACGATGATAACTTCAGTCCGACAACGATCTTGCACTGTTATTGGCATCCTTTGAGCTTTACTTCAATTTTACCTCT